TACTTAATCAAATAAAAATAGTTGTCCCTAGGGCTGTTAGCAGATCGCCACTTACCTTCTTCTATAACATCCCAAACACTTTTCACCATTACAACTCGCCAGTTAAATTGTTTCAAATTATGGAATTGTATTCAAAATAAAATTGACATTTTTCATGATGATTTGAGCAAACGTAAGGTTAAGGATCAATTATTTGACTACTATATGCAATGTTAATAGTATATTTTGTTTAGTTGTTATGAGGTTGGAAATTATGTTTGATTTTTTTTTAATCATTATTATTAGTTTTAATTATTTTTTCTATTCATTTTTTTCTGCCATTAGTTATCAATGTATGATTCTATCTCTATATGGACCTTGTGTCTGTTGGAAAAATAAAACCTATTATTATTATTGAACAATCATCTTCGTCCCCTTCATCGATTTCCACATCACTCAAAAGAGTTACGTCCTCTTCAGTTTCATGCCGTTTCTTATCCTCATCTTTAATCAGTATTTCGTTTAGTACAGCTTTTGAAGCTGAAGGCCCTGAGCACTCCCGCTTTTGAGCTTTGACTGATGATCTCGAAAAATAGTCAAGTTATGCTATGTTTCATTTTTAAGATCTTCGCGGTTCTGAATCCCGGAAGAAACTGATTTTTAAATCCAAAATAATGTGCATGCACGTGTGCAATCGTTTTTTATCTTAACAATAATAAAAATAAGCCGACGTGACTATTCAACCACTGCATTTGTTTAGACTAGTCGGTATAATAAGTTGCTTGTTGCCGGCGCCATAATATGTCAATTCGAGAATTTTATGGTAGCAATTAAGTGTCCAGAGATTTTATTACAAAACAAGTTACAAATTTACACCGGTATTCCTAGAAAAATTGACGCGGGCACCAGGGTGAGCCGCAAAGTTTTTGGAAAGACATATCTGTACAAGTTCGGAGTCGATATGTCTAATAGTTTGGAACGTGTTTTTGCCTGTCTGCAATCATAACTATGTCAGGATCTTTAATGTTACAAAATGCGATTTTTGTTTTTTGCTAAACTATGATGTTTAATAAAGAATAGTGCATGTAATTTTTTTTTTGTGATATGGTTGCTCCCTTGTGGAGATTTTTAGATATAGGGCTATTTTGATGGAGCTATTTTGTCAGGGCGATTTTGTCGGGGTGGTTTTGTCCCGGGCTATCCGCTTTTTATACAATGTTCTTCATAATAGAACTGATAGTTCTGTGCTCTTGGGTAAAGTTAATTTTCTTGTACCACGACTAAATACTCGCCAACATATTTCTTTTTATGTTAACTCTGTTAGAACTAATGCTCTGAATAGATCTCCAATTAATTTAATGTGCGGTTTATTATAAGTATATTCATTAATTTTGATCTCTACTAACTTGCTAAACATTGTAGAATAGTATTATAATTATGTTTAAGATGTATGTACTCTTATTATATTATGTTTAAGGTTACTTAATTTTTTGTCAATTTTCTAGTTATTTTTTGTATGAGTTTATTTTTGGTTTATATGGTTTCTGTAATTGGGATTTCTTCCTGTTGAAATCAATAAATATTATTATTATTATTTGACTCATTTAGTAATTGTCAAAATTCAAATTCAAAAAAGTGTTTGTAAGTTTCTCGAACAGTCTGCTTATGTCAATCTTGGAAGGTTAGTACAAGCAGATCAGAGTAGTGTAGGGGGGGAAAACAGCGTCAGTGCGCTAATTCACATTTTGTTAATTTTAAATGAAGTAAAATTTGGCCTATTTGTCTTTTCAGACACCCTGGTCTACATTTTTCAGCCCTTCACAATTTTGAAATTTAATTTTTATTGTAATGATTTTCGAGATCTTAGTATGAAGGAAAATTACTATGAAAAAATCAACCCCTAAAAAGTGAGCGTAGCGAGCACAGAAAAAAATTCTTGATAATTTAGCTTCTCACGGACATTAATGAAAAATTGTTTAAATTACACCTGAACGTGCTCGCTGCGCTCGGACTCTAAGCGTTCTTTTTTTGAAATTTAGTCTCAGAAATATTCAAGAATAAATCTTATTAGAGAAGTTATTTGTGTTCAGTTGTAATAATCAATTTCTGTGTTTTAAAAAGCACACAATTAGAATGCGAGCGCAGCGACCACGTTTAGATGGCTAGAGTTTCTCCAAATTTAATACTCACAAACATTTTGAAGATTTACTTTTTTTAGACACTAAAAAATTCTCTCGTAAATAATTTAGCGTCGCAAGAATACAGATGAATATTTTTTTAAACTTACACCTGAACGAGCTCGCTGCCCTCGCATTCTGAACGTTCTGTTTTTAGGGTTTAGTCTATAAGTATTCTGGAAAGAGTTTTTCCGAAGCTGCTTGAGTTCAGTTGTAATAATAAATCTCTAGATTAAAAAAAAAACGCACCCTTAGAATGGGGGCATAGCGAGCACGTTTAGGTAGATGGAATTTTTCCGAGTTTAGTATTTAAAATAGTAATATTCGATGTGTTTCACTTTTTTTATTTTTTTGTCAACTTTAAGAATGTTGACGTCTTGTTATTTTTGACAATTTTGAAATATTTGATGTGTTTGACATATCTGACATTTTCACGTACACGTATTTAACATATCATTCTTGGTGATTTTTTTAAAAAATGTTTGACACTTGTAATCTTAAACTTTGACATTCTTATTACACGTTCTCGATATTCTTCAAGTTTATATAATATTTTTGACAGTTTGATCTTTCTTTACACTTTTTTCTTCATATTCTTGATAACTATGACGTGTTTGATGTTTTGAACATGAGTGACATTTTTTATTTTTTCTATAAATTATATTTCTGGCAGTCTGAATGCTTTAGAGTAGTTGAGTTGATATCGTTTACATTTCTACTATTTTTGCCACAGTCTAATCCTTAAACCTTTCCCCGCCCACCCACCCTTTATTTTCTTAGAGGGTATTTCATTTACCAAAATCAGTCTTATCTTAACAAGGACAGCAGTGGTCCTTGGGCTTAGTACCTGTAGTGATATAAGTTTTGCCTGAATGCCGACCATTTCCGGGTCAGTGGAAGGTCTAAAATAATAATAATTCTCTGTTTATTTAGTAGACTTTTAACAATTCTAGAAAGCAGTGTGTATGCAGTGTATGTTAATTACTGAAATTTATGGGACGTCTTACTAATAATTAATTTCATCACGCTATTTGACACATTGATTACTTTAGGTCCACGAACTCTGTTTTTTAAAAATAGGAAAATAAAATAGGTGACTCATTTTATATCCATTTTTTTAATAACTATTGTTCTTTCTGCATCATTGTTTTATAGCTGGCGAATTTCGGGGACGAAATGCCCTGGGACGAAACCGACTGGAAACAACGATCCGAAGAGAGTCGAATACGAATGGCGGAAACAAAGGCCGGAGACGAAACCACCGAGAACGAAAGAGCTGGGGCAAAACGATTAGGACGCAAACCGATTTACATGCGAAATAAAAGACACAACTGAGCTGAGATAATCTCATTGTTTCTAAATGGTTAAATTTCGCGAGCAATGAAGCACCAGTTAAAAATAACTGAGCATCAGTAAAATCATTAAATTTCCATTCAAAGTATGATATATATAGAAAGTAACACTTCTGGTATTAATTACCCAGTGTTTGCACTAACACCAGATTTTTAGACCGGGTCTTTTTTAATGAACATGTGCTACGGGTAATAATTTATCTAAAGCAAAAGTACTATTCTAGATATATTTATATTTTTTGAAAATTTGTGTACCACAAAAAAAAATACCTATACGATTTTGGAGAATTTTCTAGATCCAGGATTCTTCTCAGGAAAGTACGATTTTTTTATACATGACAGTAACACGTACAAATTTCCAGTTAACACAAATATTTTTGCAGCCCGTCGAAAGATTTAATATCCAGTGGTGTATCCAACAAATAAATATTTTTCTAATCCCCTCTGGAGTACGCCACTGGTTGTAGGTTGTCTGTGTTTTTTAACCTTTCCTTACATCAAATTTTTTTAGATGGTTTAAATGACTCCACAGTGTTATTCCCAGACCTTACCATCAGCCAAACTAACTTTTAACATTTTTTTTTAAATATAATATATGTATACAATAATTAACATAATATGTAAAAAAACTTCATCAAAAATTACAATAAGTGCAAAAATCAGGCCACTTTTTCAAAACACATCAGTATTGTGACTCATTACTGATTCACATTAAAAAAAAATCAACAATCTAGCAAAAAATTCAAATTTCCCGCGCGAAGTCCTGATGAAGCTTCCATCCGAAACGTTTGGCTCGTTGCGTATGCGCAGAGCACGCCGATCCTTGGAAAACATGAATCATCAGTAGCTCTGCCTCGAATGTTCTAGAAGCTTGTGCTGTAGCGCCCCCTACACTAAATTCCAGCCAACAGGCTACAAAGGTGGCCTTGGACGAGTCTACTTGATTTTATTGGGAACGCAACGCCCGGCCGCTGCTTGCCGGCGATAGGCTGTTACGGCCGACTCCAAACTAACTTCCCGCTCTTGGCAACAAGCAATGAGCGGACGCGCCCGCGTATGTCTCAGTTTGACGCAACGAAAAAGAGACAAATGCGCGTCAAGAGAAGGATAGAAGGGTGCCGCGTATAGTTTTCCCAATCAGCGAAGCGGAAACAATGAGGATGATCCGACAGGAGACGAAACGTCGAGTTTTAACCATGAACTGAACAATTTTCAAAAATTTGGCCAATTTTCGAAACTAAATCCAAAATGAGTGAAGTACATACATACATCCATATTGTTTTTTTTTATTTGAAGCGTGTCAGAATGAAATTTGAGATAAATATGACGCGGAAAATGTGTAAAAAAAGTGAGGAAACTGTGACGTTTTTGTTTTTTTTTATTTTTTTCGTGGGATTTTCCGCAACCTTGGCGTTCTGTCGTCTCTCTCTGCAGCGGCTCTTCGTTCAACGTCTTTGTGGCGTTCGGGTTTCCGGGAATGGTCGAACGTGCGTCGGGTTGCGGGTTGATCACAGACACACGTGCTAAAAAAAGACCTCTCCGCGGTGTCTGAAAGCAAAACTACTTTCCTTCAGAGCAGTAACAAACCGTCTCAAATAATTTCGATTACGAAGTTCTCGCGCCTATTTGTAACAAATTATTCCATTACGAACCTGCGTAAAGTTGTTGAAAGTTATCTTAGGAATCCATTTGAATAGTGATTGTGGGATTTTGGCGCCCAAACGTAGTCGTGAAGAGTATTTAACGCTAGTGTGTTGTGATTGTTTCTTAATTAAAGTTAGTTTACAAAACAAAATTTGATGCTGTGGAGAAACTAACCTAACTAAACAGTGACAATGGAGGAGTTGCAAACAGGTATTTTTTCACTTCGATTTTTGTACCCGTCACAAACCAACTGTTTTAGACACACTGTCTGATTACGGGAAAAGTCAGCACCAAGATCTTGATATCAATAAGGACAATGAGAATGGTGCAGGTCAGTGAGAAAAATAAACTAAACCGATTTTTACCAGATTCCATTTTCTAGCTAACCTTCTCAATGGATGTGAAGAAGTAGATGATCCTTTGGATCTTATGGGTTTGTATTGTTGAAACAAAATACCATTTTATTTTAACACAGTAGTTAGCAGATAATTGTGACAACGTAAGCATTGCCAGCAACAGTGATGTTTGGAAGGGAAGTGACAGCGAAGATGACAATTTTGAAAGCAAAGAAAGTCCAGCAGAGAATGAAAGTGCAAATAGGGAAAACGAGAAAGAGTCTGACAAAACTGTCAGTATTAATGACAAGCAATCAGATGTTGCTACGGATGGAACTATTGCTGAGAAGGAAACATCAAACGAAGACAAAAACAAAGTTGTTGAAAACAACACTAAAATTGATGATGCAGAAACAAAGCAAGGTGTTGAAGGCAACAGCAAAGTTGATGATGCAACAACAAAACAAAGTGCTGAAGATTCCTCAATTATTGAAAGTGAGGAACAAATTGAGGCAGAACAACCTGAGAAAGCTAGTGATGAGGTAGTTGATAAAGAAACAACTGAAGGTGTACATGAGGCAGAGAACAAAGAAAAAGATATTAGTGAGACAGAAAATAAAGAAAAAGAGTCTGAGAGCAATGATAAAGTGGAAAACAATACCGACAATGTTGATAATTCTGTTAACGAACAAGAAAAACCTGCAGATGTTGCTGCTACAGTGGAAGCACTTGTATCCAGTGTAGCAGAGAGTGTTCCTACATCTCCTAAGGAGGCAGCTGAGGAAATTACTACTGACAAAGATTCTGTTAATGAAGTGGCTGCAGACAAAGAACCTGTAGTAAATGGGGATAAAGATCCACCTACTGAGGAACCAAATAAGGATACTGCAGAGGATGGGCCACCAAACAGATATACTAGTGAACAAGATGATGGTATACACATCAGTCTATGTCGAAATAATAATAAATGTGTTTCTTTTAAGAATGTCAAATGGATTATGATGCTGAGGATGATGATGATTTTGATCCATCATTACTTTGTCCAGAAGTGTCAATGGCTGTGGATGATAATCCAGTAGTAACCACCAATGGTGGTGTGCCAAATGAAACTGGGATTGATAGCCCATTGCCATATGAGCCAGTTTTTTCCACTTTTGTGGATGATGTCACAGGGGCTGAGAGTAGGTTAAGCGTTAGATTTTTAAGTGCGGGATTATGGGATGTATGTTTTTAGTTTCGTTCAACTTGACCCCAGAGGAGTTAGAATTGAAGAAAAGACTGTATGGACCAAGTAAGTATATTTTTATTAAAACTATGTGGTTATTAAACATAATATGATAATATGAAAGAAGAAATTGAGTCTGTTTAGACATCTGAAACCAGTTGATATTACCAACTTAATATTGTGGCCTGGACTAACAATGACAATGTTGAGGTGGATTACTTTGAAAAATTAAACAAGAATTAATTCATACTGCACTATAATAATGTGTGCACCTAATTATTAAAAATGAATTAATAAAAAAATCCTACCATGTTCATTTTGATGGTAATGAATATCTAACCAGGGTAAATATGTCACCAGGATTACCACCTTACATTTCCCCAAATATATTTTTTGGAATTTTCACAATATATTCACAATGAAGCCATAAGTTACACTAAAAAAGTCTAATATATAACTACAATTTGGTTCAACTCTTTTAATGTGATATTGACGAAAATGTACTGGTGTCCAGCTAATCAGAAATGTCTTACCTGGAAAATCAGATATGACTCAGATGCAACATCTGAAAAATTTTCATAGGTGGGTTCTGTTATTGTCATAAAATGATTAAAGTTCAGAACAAAACGACATTGATTTTCAAAAAATTGTTATCATTATAGTCTATGTATTTTTTGGGTAAAATTTCGCAATTGAAACTAAAATAAAAAAATTAACTGTATTCTTTCACTTGTTTCATTGATTTCTATGGCAAAGAAAATCATGTTTTAATTATGTAACTCTGGAATATATGGTTTTCATTCAATGGTAAATATCCTGAAGAGACAAATTTCCTAATTTAGATCTGTGGTGCGGATTAGAAGATGCCTTAAACAGAAACTTGTATAATTATTGTTTATGAATGATTTATGTTTATACTTTATAAACTAACGTCAACCTTTTGTGTTTTTCCCAGGATTGTAAATTTTAAAATTGGCCTGAATGAAAAAATTAGGAAGTGGAAGTATTATTTAGATATTTTTCGAATATAGCGTAACCACAAAAAACGGGAAAAACAAGCGCTTGATAAGAGGTATCAAAATCCCGAATCACACCACACTACTTGATTAATTAACACAACAATTGCTAAGCAAGAAATCATGACTGAATATTTTTTTAGCGTTACTATTGCTTAGAAATATTAATAATTTGATTATTTTATTATGTCTGGGTATTTCACTTTGACATATATTTACATACAAATTCATATGTATTAGCATATTATAAAAATACTTGAATACAATTATAGATGAATAACCTGTATTAGTAACAAAGTTTTAGATAAAGAAAGACTGCTTAAGTAAGCTTATCAAGTATTTTAGGAATATAGTGTATATGGTAAAACTCTAACCAAAATTTGTGTAATCATCCCCACTAACAATGTAATGAAGTCATCTCAAAATTATAGTAGTAAATTTTATATAATAACATATTCCTACACTTGTAGTTTATGAATTCGTCTTGACAAAGTAATATTGACACTGCAAAACAAAATGCTTTGTAATCTTGCGAACGTTTTAAGGTTATCGGGTTATCTTAAGCTTGTTGGGAACCGTTCAACCCCAACCCTAAAAAATGATCATCTTGAAATTTTGTCGAATAAAGTTTATTTATTTAAAATATGAAAAATATGGTCTACACTTGCGGTTTATCAATGCAGGAAAGTTCTGACTAAATGAACTTAGACCAATTTTTATGTATATTTATGTGTAACTTTTTTATGTGCTAAATTCCCTTAGAAACAGTCGTTTAATTTTTAACTTTTATTTTAGCAAAATTTGTTTTTAAATCTTTATTGTAGTAAAACTTAAATTAAAATCCAGGGTTGGCACGACCTAATTCATGATTTAAATCAAGGGATAAAAAAAAATCTTCCATAAAAATTAAAAAAAATCGCCGGTTTAAATAATGATTTCTTTGTTTCTTTTCAAATTACGAAAATATAATGTATAATACGGCCTTTTTAAATGCAGTTTAAATCAAAATAAATTTAAAACCGACTGGAATAATAACAAAATAAAACGCTAATTTTCCTGTTTTCGTGTTTGTCTATCGTCTTTCGTCTGTGTCGATTTTATAATGGTGAAATGTATGTCATTTGCCAAAATTAGTCTTATACCAGTAAGTACTAGCCCGCCCACCCACCCTCTATTTTATTAGAGGACATGTGATTTGCCGCAGTCTTATTTTAGCAAGTTCTAGCCTCGCCTACCCACCCACCCTTTATTTTCTTAAAAGGTATGTCATCTACCAAAATCAATCTTAACTTAGCAGGTACTAGCGCCAAAATTTTATAAAAAAAATGTAATCCTAGATGATTATTATTATTGGTCAATGTGAAATTCAACTTCTTTCTCAAAGCCAATAAAATGACTGATCAAAACGAAATAGGGGTGGGTGGGCGGGGCCACTACACTTTTATCTTATCAAGAATTTGCCCCAAGCACCCATCTCTTATTTTCTGAAAAGGTATGACATTTACCAAAGTCAGTCTTATCCTAACAAGTACGTGCCCCGCCCGCCCGCCCTTTATTTTCTTAGAGGACATGTCAATTGCCACAGTCTTATCTTAGCAAGTATTAGCCCCGCTCACCCACCCTCTATTTTCTTAGAGGATATGTCATTTGCCACAGTCTCATCTTAGCAAGTACTAGATTATTTACAAATTTATTTGTATTTTAGGATGTCATGTCAACGATAATAAACATTTTTCTGATTATCATCACCAATATTTTGATAACGAAATCTAAAAATTTTGCATAGTAAATGTTTAAATTTTATAAAATAACAATCCTGGATTTATTTAATGTATCATGAAAAAAATTAAAATCGTAAAATCAAATTTTATACTTTTTCGAAGAAACTATTTGTCGGATTGTATTTTAGGGGTGAGGAAAATTCTGTGTACTACCTTAGGCCTATTTTTTAAATTTTAAGATCCGGTATAACAAAACTAATTAAAAATATTCCAGTAAGCTTTGTAAAATAAATAACACTATTAAATGCTATATTTAGAAACGTAAATGAAAATAAAAAAAAAAAAACTTGTGAATATGTGTTAAAACACGTGGAAAATAAAAATTTAAATAACTTCATAAAATACAAAACGTTGCCAAAATCTGAATAAACGTGATCAAAACCGCTAACTTTTGATTCCTCTCGCTACTTTTTGAGCTATAATTTGTAATACTTGAAAAACTAAAAAATAAGAATTGAAGAAGAATAAAATATGAATGATTTAAAAAAAATCATTCATTTTTGATTTATTAATTCTGTTTTTTTTCAACCATGCAAAAAACGTCCAATTTTGGTGAAAACAACCTATAAAAAAAATCCAGTAAAGCAAATTCTGATAAAAAAAACTGAAAGTGTAAATAAAAATAATAAATTTTGATAATTCACGTCACATGCAACACTTGAAATACCGGGTGTCTGGCAAATGGCGGATTAACTCTTCTGTACGTTATGTACGGGGTTTCGGGAGTCCTAAAAAAATAAAAAAATCCTTTATGTTGTAGATTACGAAAAAAACGTAATTTAAAAAAATTAAAATTGACAACACTGCACGCACCTAATGCGTGAATACCTCCAGCTTAGTTTCTGATTTCTTAGTAATGATAAGAGAAGAGAGGGTGGGTGGGCGGCGGACACTTCCATTTGAATTAAAAAAGTTTGTCGTCATTTTATAGACTTTTACTGCCCGAGCGGGAGCGTATGCTAAGGAAGTTTTGTAGTAGGGTCCACCCTGCGAATGGCTGCTTTCATGTTTCCTCGACGTTTCATGACACCAAGAGTGGGAAAAAATATGTCTGCCGTTTCCGTCTGTCTGTATCGATTTTTTTATTTTAGAAGTGTCGTGTAGATGGTAAAATGCTAACCAATCAGTAATCATCCTCACCGATAATTTAATAACGTCTCCACAAAATATTTTTCAAAAAAGGGTATTTAAATTTTATAAAATAACGTATTCTTATACTTGTGGTTTATGAATTTACATCGATTTCGTTTATTATTATTTTTATATTGTTTAATCCGTTTAGTCCGTCTAGTAGCGTCTTCGCTTCACAGATGAGAGGTCCGGGAATCGATGCCGGTCCGCAGCTTCTTTATTATTGATCAAATCACTGTTATTGTTAGTATTACACTGCATCTATTCAAATTAATGTAAGTGTCCTTGATAAAGTGTTGACGACGTCATAACAAAATTTCGTTATGAAAAACTCACTTGAAACATACGCATCGCATGCTTGTTTACCTATAATTTAACAGTAGCTGTATTTCATCATAAAAAAATTAAATTCGCAAAATTAAATTTTATGTGAGTTTAATCTTTCGAAGATGCATTTGTTCAACTGTACTTGGTTTTGTCCTAAATAACCTTAGATCAATTTTTTTGATCTAAAGGAATCTGGTGTTTTGTTGCTGAATGCACTTAAAAAATTTTTTTGAGCTTTCAGTGTTTTATTTTTTATGAATTTGAAAAAGTCTTTGAGTGCCGCAGTGTTTTTTGTTTCTTTTTCTTAATTGGAGAGACTCTTGAGTATCTATGGTGTATTATTATTTTTTTGTAAATTATTTAAAACAATTTTGGGGGACTTTGATGTTCTACTTTTGGAAAATTCTGACCTGACCTGTTTTTGAGTAAATTTTAGGACCCCGGTTTTTTTTTTTTTTTTTGAAAATTTAAAACAATCTTGAGGTTCGAGGTATTCCTGTTTGGAAAGATTTTGAAAATGCTTTGGAGCCTCTAGTGTCTTTTCTTGTAATAATTTAATTTGCGTCATTTGCTAAAATCAGTCTTATCTTAGGAGGCGCTAGCTCCAGCCGCCCGCCCTTTATTTTCTTAGAAAATATGTCGTTTGCCAAAATCGGTCTTATTTTAGCAGATACTAGAACCGCCCACCCGCCCTCTATATTCTTAGCGGGTATGTGATTTGCCAAAATCGATCTTATTTTAGCAGATACTAGCCCCTCCCCCCACCCTCCCTCTCTTTTCTTAGAAGGTATGTCATTTGCCAAAATCACTTATCTTAGCGGGTACTAGCTCTGCCACCCTCTCTTTTCTTAAAGGATATGTCATTGGCAAAATCAGTTTTATCTTAGCAAGTACTGATAACCAACTTTTACAAAAATATATCAAAATTTGGAAACATTAATATTTGTTTTTGTTTATAATTTATAAATGTCTTATGAATTTTTTTTGTTTTGTTTATTTATTAATGAAAAATAACAGCTAGTTTTATTAATAATAATAATGCACAACGATTAATGACTACTGGTTGTAATGGTTATTGTCCTAAAAAATAAAAGATGGATTTCAGTTACCATCGTTACTAATTAATCGAAAAGTAAGCCAAAGGTTTTCACGTATTAGGCGCGCGCAATGTTGCCAATTTTACTTTTATAAAATTACGTTTTTTTCGTAATCTAGATCGTACAGATTTTTTTTTTATTTTTTTGGGACTCCCGAAACCCCCCGTACATAACGCACTTCAATAGCGGATTAACTCTTCAGAGTTAATCCGCTATTTTCCAGACACCCGGTATATATAAATGATGAATTTTTCAAAGAAGAAAACCTCATAGTTTTCGAATATAACGACCAGTGGCGTAACAATCAAAGTACGGGCCTGTGTTCTACGACACTGTGGGGCCCCTAATGAACAGCGAAATAAAAATTATTTAAAAATACGAGTACATATACTGAGTAAAGTATGAGTAGGTATTGTACTCCCAAATTTTTATTGATTAAATAAGGAACGTTTTCCTTATTTAATCAATAAAATAAATTGACTCTTTCATTAATTTTTCTGAGTCACCCTGTATAACAAATTTAAAAACTTTTAATGTAATGATAAATCACAGGTATAGACTCATCATATTTTGCACATTTTGAATGGGATTTACTCGACAAAATTTTGAGATGACGTCATCAATTTTTTGGGAGTGGATAAACGAAAAAATTTTGCTGAACGATTTGCCATGATTACGATATCCTTAAAATATTTACTAGATTTCAGAGCATTCGGTTTTGCGGTTTCAAAGTTATATTACAAAATATTGTTATTCAGTTTTGAATGTTTTCCAAAAATTCTTGATATGTGGGGTAAAAATTCGATACGGTGCAGGAGTATCTTATTTTAAAAAATTTCAAGAAACTTTTTATTATAAATGTTGGAGATGACGTCATCCCATTGGTCGTGGGGATGATTAGCCAAATTTTAGAATTTTAGTTAGTATTTAACCATCTACATGGTATTCCTAATATACATACAAAATTTAACAACAATCGGTGTAGTAGTTTCGGAGATTACTTGTCTAACAAAAATGGATACAGACACCAGGCAGACAGACAGATAGACGGAAACGAGAGACTACTTTTTTCGTAGTCTAGAGGTCATGACACGTCGAGAAAATATGAAGGGAAGTAAAAATTTGTTGTAACATACATCAGATATATTTTATTATTCCAAAAAAGCACCACAAACACAAAATTAAAATAGTTTTGAGAATACGAAAGTTTTCCTAAAACACAACTGAAACTGATTTTTTTTTTCACGTCTTACAGCATAAAGTTTCACTGAAGATCTGAAGACAAAATTTAAGTATTTTGTTGTCCTGAATCATAAATTAGTCATATTTTTGTCGGCTAAAGATTGGTAATTTACTAAATGGGATGTTAGATTTGACACAATGGGATTCCAACAGTGCGGCAGGTTTATTAGAAACAGATGCTGATGCATTTCTGGCCGCCGGTGTCGGTCGCTAAACCCCGAGTTTATTGAATGTATGATATTGAGATGCCGCCAGAGGTCCAGCCCTTTGCAGCAAAAAAATCGTAAATAGAAATTTAATTTCCGCAATAATACAAAAAATGCAATAAAAAAAAATATTCGTGTGACCGGACCGGGCCCCTTGAAGAAGCGGGCCCGTGTTCCGGCGAACACATGGAACACCGGTAGTTACGCCACTGATAACGACCACACCATCACCCAAAAACTCTAGATATATTTTTGCTAGGAATAAAACACCCCATTGCAAGATTTTGTATTAACTTTGGAAAATATTAAAGCTTTCTAGAGTACTTGATGTTATTCAATTCCATCTTTATGTACATTTTTTTTTAATTTTCAGCGAATCCTGTCCAGTTCACCCGAATCCACTGCACCGCTTGCAACGTTCACCTGGGTAGTGCTCTAGAAGGACAAAACAATCGATTCGTTCATCCACTCTTAAAAGTAATCATTTGTAAAGAATGCTACCACTTTTACACGAGCGGCGAGTTCGAGAAAGATGAAGACGGCAGCGAACTGTACTGTCGCTGGTGTGGCCAAGGAGGCCAAGTCGTCTGTTGCTCAAAATGCGAATTTGTCTTCTGTAAAGTGCGTTTACACCACGCCACCTCGCAACACTTTCACTAATTGCTTCAATTTTGCAGAGGTGCATTCGCACAAACTTCGGCAGAAAGAAGATGTTCGAGATCCGCGACAGCGACAACTGGGACTGCTTCAGGTGCAATCAATCTCAGATCATCACGCAAAGAATAGCCTGTTACGAATTTTTTGAGTACGTGCGAAGGGAGATGTCGCTAGCAGCGACACTTCCCACTTCCGAGATTTGGAGCAAGGATTATTCGAGATGCTGCGGCGCGAAGAAGAGGGCCGCAGAAAATGCGGAAGAAACGAAAAAAGCTAAGAAAAGAAAGAGCGAGACGGATCCGGATTATAATCCTCTTGCAGAGAAGGTGGTGGACGAAAGCAATGCCGCGTCGACAATTGTTGCCAATCCTTTGGCGACTTCTACTCCGAGGCTTCAGATGCCAACTCTAAGTAAAGGAATTGTACTTCCTAAACCGATTAAGTTTGTACCAAGGTACACGATGAGCAAGGCGAAGGACAACGACATTGAATTTGTTAGACAGATTCCGGCACCACATGTGACTGTTAGTGCAACAACGAGGCCAACATATCGAACGATTTTGCCGACTCCTGGAAATGCCGCTAGAGCAGGTATTTTTTTATTCATTCCAGTACATACTGCTGTACAAAAAAAATCTCAGTATTCCTATTCGTGAGTAATTAAATGCAGTTATTTTCAAAAAGTATGTTTTACTTCTCAAGTGGAAGCTAGGTTATCCCCTCCGAAAATTTGATGACGTTATTTTAAAATTTTGCGTTATTTAACAGGTGACTCAAAAAAAGCTAATGAATAAACAGTTTATTTTATGGATAAATCAAAAACGGCTCACCTCATTTTACATATCCGAAATGCTATACTTTGTATCTGTTATTTTTAAAAAGTTGATGACGTCATCACAAAATTTGATTATAAAAAAAAAACTACTTGAAACTTTGGCACATTATGCTTCTTTACCTATTTACAAGTCCACATATTATTTTAAATTATAGGAGTTGGGGATCTGTTTGATTATAAATAATTTTAAACCAATTTGTATTTATTTGAATTGATTGTAAACGAGTTTTGAAGTCATATAATATGTCGTACGTCAACCAACGGATTATTATCGTACTCGTATGATTAAAGAACACGGCTCGCGCCTCGTGAACAGGTATTAAACCTGTAGGTGATAATTTTATCCCATTTGCAACGCAGACCGAGTGTTAGTTGTTTTAATAATTAATTATCAAGTATTTATATTTTATTGTTTTACACGAATTGTATATTCATTACAGTGGAAATAAAATAAAAATTACAGGAACTAGTATTGATATTTTGCCTTTTTTAATTTTTAATGCTCGTGCATACGGTAACTGCTAAAATATTTATTAAATTATCGATTAGTTGCCTTAGATTAGAGAGTTTAGAAGACCGCTGGTTTGTAATTGACCGCTGATTACTTAGTATATTTTAAAAGCACAATTATAGGAATTCAAGATGATTCAGAGCGGTTAAGTGAACTCAAAACATGATAAAATATGATCAGAAGTTAAATGCGATGTACTAAATTTCCGACTGACAGCTCAAGGAAGTAGCTAATAGTCATTTTATGTCCTCCAGTGTTCACAAGCCGTAAAATACGAAAACGCAGAATTCACTGAAGTCTGGAAGAGCAAAGTTGCGCAGTAAAACATTCATTTTAAAAATAATTATTGTCAGAACATGTTAGTGTGACGTTTGCAAAAAATTGTTCGAAAGCTGTTTCGACAGAATTTCCCTCGCCGTTCAAGTGCAGCCCAACAAATCCGGCTTCTTCGGAAAATAATAAAAATTGAATTTTTCAATCCTTAAATTTTTAATTTTTTTGTTTCTTCAGTTTTTCGATTTGGAATCTTTCGAGTTAAATTTTTCAGTTTTTCAATTTTCCAATTTTTTGATTTTGCAATTTTTTTCAGTTTTTTTTCCTCAATTTTTGAGATTTTGCAATTTTTCGATTTAAAATGTGTCGAGTTTTTAATTTTTAACTTTTCAATTTTTTTGTTTCGGTTTTTTATTTTCTTTATTTTTACAAATTTCCGAGTTTTCAGCTTTTTAAAATAGTTTTTGGTTTTTTTAATTTCAACTTTTTCAATTTTTCATTTCTTCAGTTTTGCAATTTTTAATTTTTTTGTTTCTTCAATTTTACGGTATGCAACTTCCAGTTTTCTTTTTAAAATTTTTCAGTTTTTCGATTTTTAAATTTTTCGTGTCTTCAATTTTTCGATTTTTCAATGTTCTGATTTTATAATTTAAATTTTTCAACGTGAGTATTTGCAGTGTTTTGATTTTGCAATTTTTTGGTGTTCAGTTTTTTGTTTTTTCGATTTTTGATTTGCAATTTTTCGATTTAAAATGTTTCGAGTGTTCAGTTTTTAACTTTTCAATTTTTGGATCCTTTAATTTTTTATTTTCTTTATCTTATTACAAATTTTCCATTTTTCAATTCTTTAAAATAATTTTTGGTTTTTACAATTTCAACTTCTTCAATTTTTCATTTCTTCAATTTTTCGATTGGGCAATAATTTTGCAATTTTCAATTTTTTTTGTTTCTTCGTTCGTTCGATCAGGGATGTTGGGGATGCAGATTTTTCAACATCCGCGGATGTGGATCTCAAGTTTTTTTTTAAGAAAGTTAGTATATGTACAGAAATCAGTAAAAAAATGGGAGTTTTTAATATATTTATTTAATAAACAAATTTTTAGTACGAAAATTTAAAAATTGTTGAATTATATTTAATAAAAAGTAATATTGCGGCCTTTTCAGGTTCGAGTCTATTTCTCAGAGGTTCATAAATTAATCCTGCACTACTAAATAACTGTTCACTGGGAACACTAGCTGTTGGAGGCGATAAAAATCTGCGTGCTACTCCAGATAAAATTTTTAATTCGGTACGATTAACGCTCCACCATTTAAGTGGATTTTCATTTATATTCAGCATTGCTTTATTTCGATACGAAAGCAATTCCTTCTTGAGGACAGCATCAGGGGAACCATTTTCTGATCAGTGGCGGCTCGTCAGGGGAGGCAGGGGAGGCAGTGCCTCCCCTGGAAAAATTGACCATTACTTTTTGTTTTAATATCTGTTAACTTCAAATATATTTTACAGATATAGCAAATAACTTTTATGGAACACTGTGATTGATTAAAACGCGTCTTGGTAACATATTTTGAAGTACGCGCTTTCGACAGGAATAAGCGCTGATCATCGCCGTGTAGGCCAGCTTCAGACGGAGGCATGCCTCAGATAGACGGATATCTTCAGTATGATTAGTCAGTGGTGCTAATATGTTTTTGAGAAAGACAATAGTCATCAGTGCTTTATCAAAGCGCCAGCGGAGGCACCAACGCCTACCGTCCTTAAGCCAATCAGATCGAATTTTTTAATCTCACGGTGAAACTGCACAATGCTGAACAGGGATGCTGAATGCATTTAGTGTGCATTTAGTTGTGCATTAATTAGACGCGAGGAAAGGTAGTGACTGCATGTGCATTGCCAAGGTTATGTATTAAAACTTTTCAGTTAACTTGAAATTGAAAACAGTAGGACAATGAAAATGTGAGTTTTACAATGCTGATAGCAACATAAGAATCTATAATCTCCAAAGTTTCTTATAAAGTTTAAATATTTAAGCACGGTTTTCTTACGACGAACAATTGGATGTCAAAGATTTAGAACCTCTCATCCAGATTTGAGCAGAAATGTATTAATTAATTGATTAATATATTTAAATCAGCCCTAGATCATATGAATTAATATTTAATGTTAATAAAGCAAATTCTGTAGTCTTTACACCTTCTCATTGGTTTGTGTCAAGCAATTAAATGTTTTTTATTCGGGAAGTGTACCCATATAGAGATATGTTACTGACTCAGAGTTATTTGTATTGTTTTCATAAAAACGAATAAACAATCTGTTTTTTTAACAAAAGTAATTGCCAACATGTTAATTAATACCTGCTGATTTTGAAACGAAAATGTTGCCTCACCTAACAAAAAGACCACGAGCCGCTACTGTTTCTGATATTTCTTGACTCTCATCTTCACTTGACGAATCTAGCATCATGGCAAGATCGTTTTTCAAGCATGGCTTTCTGGCTGTACCGGATGTTCCAGGTTGTTCCGTATCTTTCACGAGGGAATCTCCCATTTTCATTTTTTTCACTGCTTTGAAATTTGGAGATATTTGAGGGTTTGAGACGTCATTCTCTATGTTTGTCCTAATCTTCAAAATATCGTCCTTAATATTTTCCTCGGTCACTGGTGTAAAAAACTTGTGCTTATAGCGCGGGTCTAAGTACGTGACATATAAATTGTTCTCTTCCAACAAAGAAAATTTTGCTGAAACTTCAGTTTTCAGAGTCGTGACAGCCACCCGAATTGGGTCAGAATCCTGTGGTCTTGTTAAATAATCATCAAGTTTTTTTCCAAGCACTTTAATTATTGGAAGCACACATGATATAAGTGTATGAGAGTTACTTAGTTTCCCGTGTGGCTTCTTCGAAAGGTTTCAATAGCTCAACACAACATTCAATAATTTTCCACTCTTCTGGCAAAATAGGGTCAATTTCACTGTCAATGAAAGACTCAATGCATCTTTTACCTTTAAAAAACGGTCAAACATGTAAAACGTACTGTTCCATCGCGTTACACAATCTTGAAACACTCTGAGATGCGGTTGATTCAGTCTGTCCGGGATTTTTGCAGTTGTTTTTGACCAATGGTGGAATGGTTAAAGTGAGTCTAAATTTTCTTACATTTTTGTTTGACGACTGTTATGTTTTCCTGTGATTGTAAACCACTTCGAATAGCGAGTTGCATCTTGTGAACTGCACAATCCAAATCATTCAATACTGCTAATCGCATAGTTCTTTTCATATTGGAGCCTTCGTCACGAATAATGCAGTGCACTTGTTCTTTTGAAATATTCCATTCAGTAAGCATCGTGTCAAATTTTTCTGCAATTATGTCACCTAAGTGACGGTCGTCGAAGGTTTCGCATTTCAATATAATCAATGATCGATCAAAGTTTTCTGCGATTCCATGATAAGTCGGGCTAAGCAAAGATGCATTAGACCTTGGATCCGACCAAATATTAGAAGTAAACGCCATGTAATCAAATTTTTCGATTAATTCTTTCACTTTGTTAGCAACTTTGCCATACAGTTCCGTGCACACAAAGTCAGTAAAAAAATTGCGCCCTGTTAAATTATATCTTGGTGGTAGTTCTTGTATCAGTCTGCGAAAACCGAGTCCCTCTACAAAATTAAACGGTAAATTTTGAAGTGCAATCATTTCTCCGATGAGTTTGTCAATTTTTTTCGAATTTGAATTGTTAGTATCCCACTTTTTTTCTTTTTGAACTGCTTCCTCTATCGAAAGTTGTTTCTTTGCTTCTTGTAGTGGAGTGAGGATTTTATCTAAAAATAAATATACACATAAATTATAACTTGTTATGGAAATTAACGAAAACAAACGGATGCAAAATAGATTTTAAATAACGAAACTTTTATTGCATCGACTTTTTTGTATTAAATACAAAATAAACCAACTTTGGGCTTATCTGCTGTTAAC